AGTGGGAGGGAGGACGGCGGAGGGTTGGGGAGGCGATGATGAGATGAAAAACGAGAAAATAAAAATAAGTGAAAATTTTTTTTATTTTTTATTTCCTTTTGTTCAATCGGGGGGGGGGGGGGAACGACGAATAAAGTCAGAGATGATGATGATGATAATAATAATAATAATTTTTTAACCGCAATGGGTAAAGTATACAAAAAATTATACATGTATATAATTTATAAAAAAAAATTTTCCGAAAAGTTTTATTAATTAGTTCATATAATATACAAGAATAAATTTTAAATTTAATTTCTTTTTATTTTCTCTCTCTCACTCACTCTCTTTCTCTTTTTATTTAATTAACTTGGTTTCTTCGGATCCTAAATCAAAAATTTTCCGTTAAATTTTATTATTATTATTGTAAATTAAATAAAGAGGTCAAAATGTTTAAAATCAAAATAACAGCTATCGAAATTTCCAAAATATATATTTATATGTACCTCGTAAAACTCTTTTCATCATTTTCTATTTTCTCTCTCTCTCTTCGTCTCATATAATTTTAAACAATACGTTTTCTAGAAGTTAAGTACTCCAGTAGTAAATCCAGTTATCAATTTTCTTGCTTAAAAACTTTTTTTTTTTGTGGAAAACTTAAATCTAATCAAGCGAAAGTTTAATTTTAATTGAGAAAATTAAAAGAGACAGAGAGAGAGAGAGAGGGGGGGTGGAGTGGTACTGGAGGAAAAGGTGGGGGAGGATTATGGAGGGTGGAATGACGTGATGACGATTATTTTTTTAATAATTTAAAATTTAATTTTTTAATAAATTTAAAAAAAAAATTTTTTTTTTTTTTTTTTGTTCAGTTATCGATTGCGTTGTGTCACCTTGGGGCCCATGGTCAGATTGCGATGTAGAATGCGGAACTGGAATGACGACGAGACGTAGAGAAATTCAAGTACAACCACAAAATGGCGGAAAACATTGTCCATCCCTCATACAAAAACGTGGTTGTCAAGGTACGAGATGTCCTCATCACGTTCGAAACATAATCAAAGAAACGGCCATGTTGTTACCGATAGGACTCAGTGGAAAACGTAAAATAAACGAAACAACCGACATAACAAGAAATTTAAGATTGAATTATCAACCAAAAGGATTAATTAAAAATGCCAAAAGAGAGTAAGTTTACTTTTTTATTTTTCTCTTTGAAAATCCTTTGCGTAAAAAAACCATTGTAGCGCATGTTTAGCCCATCATTAATAAGGTTTTTATATAATTTTTTTAAAACGAAAAAAACAACCAATCAAAAAATTTCATTATTAATTCCAATTTTCTGATTGGTTGAAAAACAAAAATTAATTTAATTATTATTTTCATTATTATTTTTTTTTTATTTTTCGATAAAAAAAAAAGGAAATTTTTTTCATAGAATAAAAAAAAGAAAAAAAAAAAATTTTTCATAGAGTAAAAAAAAACAAAAGGGAAAACTAATATTAAAAATATTAATGGTTTTTTTTCTTACAAAAAAAAAAATGTTTTGTTTCGGTTTGAAATAATTAAAAAGCATTAAAAAAAAAAAACCTGTACATCATAAAGAGAGAGGGGGGGGGGGGGAAGTTTCGAATGCCAAAATGAATAAAAAATAAAAACGCGTAACTAGAATAATTGATAGAATTTAATTTTTTTTAATTGCTTTGAGGTTTGACTTTTTTTTTATTCGATAACGAATCGATAAAACACGTTTTTATTTTTTTTATTTTCTTCTTCTATGGTTTTCACAAATAATGAAAAACCTTCTTTATTTATTTATTTATTTAAATCTTAATAAAATTTATTAAATGACGTTCGAGAAATAAAAATGAAATTTGTGATTTGAAAACGAAAAAAACGGTTTTTTAAAACAAACAATGCTTTTTTTTCGGAAGGTTGATACCTTAAACTTATTAAATTCCACCATTTTGAAAATAAATAAAATTTATTTTAATAATAATTTAAATAAAAAACGACGTAAATCCTTTTTTTAACTTATTTTTAAAAGTAAATGTGACAAATTCTCAAAATTTGATTTTTTTTTGTAACGGTTTTTTTTTCTTTTTTCCGTCGGTGTACGTTAATTTTTTATATTATGCCTATGATAAACATTATAAACGACAATCACCGAATCGAATGTTTTATTGTTATCGCAGTTATAATAAAATTAATTAATGTCATAGAGTAAGAAAGCAAAAAAAAACGTTTTCATTAAAAATTTCCACGAATTTCTTTTTCTTCTTTTTTTTTTTATAACATTAAATAATTAAAAAAAAATAAAAAATAGCAACCGTTAATTTAATGATTAATGCTCGACGGAAAAAAAATAAAGAAATAATAATGATAATGATAATAAATTCGTTCCCATGGTTTATGTTTATTTTTTTGTGGAATGAATGGCAAATGACAAAAACGAGAAAAATGAATCAAATTTTATTTTTTTAAATTATTATTGACACGAAACGATGCATAATAATAATAATTATAATCGTGTAAATAATAATAATAATTGAAACGTTTTTTTTTTAAATGGATTCTGTTATGAAAACGTTATTAATTTCCTTTATGTTTGTTTTAACACGCGTGTGTATGTGCGCGCGACCGTGGGAATTTATAACGATCGTATTATTTATTTACAACGAGAAAAATTATTATTATTATTATTATTTTTGTTGGATTGTCGTCGTCGTCGTGGATTAAACGCGTGTTAAAGATGCTCGACGATAATCTAAAACCACGACAAATTTCAAAAAAAAAAATATTATGCAAGAATTCATTCGTTCAATTAAATAACGCTCGAGTTATCGAACCGAATAAAATTTTATCCATTATAATAATTTATGTTTTTTTACTGAATAATAATGATAATAATAATAATAATAATAATCATGATGATAATAATAATAAGATGTTAAATCAACGTGACATATAATTAATTAATTAATTAATAATTTTTTTTATAATTAAAAAATTTTTTTTTTTCTTTTTGCTGATTTATTCTCATTAAACTTATTAAATAATAAATTTTTTAAAAATTATTATTATTATTATTATTATTATTATTATTATTATCATTATCATCATCATTATTATTATTATTAATATTATTTATCGAGTCGAAAATCAATATTTAATAATAATTTTTTTTCTTCTTTTTTTTTCATATAAAACAAAAAGAAAAAAGTAGAAGGTGGGAAATGGTGGGAGGAGGAATAGGAGGTAGAGGGAGTAATGAGGGAGTGGGGAGGAGAGAATAGGAAGAGGAAGGGGGAGGTGAAACCGTTAAAAGTTTTTGTATAAAAATTTAACATTTAAATGTTGGTGAAATTGAATCGATTCGTTTCTCAACTTTATTCTCTGTATTCAGATTTTTTTTTTTTCATAAAAAAAAAAAAAATTTTTCTCATTTTAATTTTTTTTTTTTTTTTAATTTTTTTTAGAATCCACTCGAGTAAAATTTTTTTTTCGGAAAAAGTTTATAAAAAAAAATGGAGGATGAAAATGGGATGGGGGAAAGGAGAGAGGGGGAAGGGAAGAGAAGGAAAGGGGATGAAAGGAAAAAAAAAAGATATTTTTTTTTTTTTTACGAAATGAATTTAAATTTTTTTTTTTTTTTTTTTTTTTAAAATGTTTTGGGGATTTTTTTTTTCTTCCACGTTTTCATAACGGCCCTAAAAATTCTTAAAAATTTTTATTTTTTAAAAGGTTATTATTTTTCAAAAAAAAATTAAATTTATGTTTTGTTTTATTATTAAAAAAAAAAAAAATTACAAAAAATTTTTTTTTTTTTTTTTATTTTGACAGGGACTGCGTTAAATTTGAAGTTATGAAAACGTCAAACCCATGCAAAAAAAAAAATAATTTCCCGGGTTTACACGACGGGAAGTATTTATTCCTTTCATAACTTAAAAAAAAAAAAAAATTCTTTTTTTTTTTTCGTAAACTCGATTTCCAAAAAAAAACCAAACTTAACAATCTGAAATATCATAATAATACATCATTATTATCATGTACGACTAAGATATTTTTCTTTTTCGACATAATTAAAATAACAAAAAATATTAATAATATAATAATAATAATGATGATGATGATAATAATGATAAAATGCCACGAACCGTTACACGGTAAAACAATAAATAATCGTCTGCGCATACATAGTTTTATTATTACATAAAAAAAAAAAAAATTATGACAAGATAATTTATGTTTAATCTCGTAAAAATGCATTTTATATATATCATTATTATTATCATTATCATTATTATTATTATTACGATTACTTTTCTTGTGATTTAAATGCCGGAGAGAAAAATAAAAATATTTTTTAAGAATGTAAAAAAAAAAAAAAAAAAAGAAAATTTAAAGATTTTTTTTTATTTTTAAAAAGGAGTTTGAATATTTAAATTTTGCTCAAAAAAAACAAACAAACAAACAGATAACAAACAACAAGCAACGACGGGGAAAAAAAGGTTTTTACGACCTTTTTAAATCGTTTGTAGTTGGGAGTTTAATAAAAAAGGATATTTTCGTGTGCTTGTCTGTTATTATTATTAACACGTTTTACAAAAAATTTTTTTATGTTTTACTTAAGTAATCGTGATTTGTTTATAAAAAATAAAATTTCCTTCATTATTATTATTATTATTATGATTGTTACAAATTAAATTTAAATTCGAATCTTTTTTCTTGCGTCATCGACATGTTTTAAAAAAATAATAATAATAAAATTTCCTGCGGTTTAAATAAAAATTATTTTCTTTTTTTTTTTTTTTTTTTTATTTATATTGACCGTAAAAAAGGAAAAAAAGGAAAAAGGATTGACACGTTTTCGTAAATTCAGTTGCGTTATTTTTTTTCTTCAATACATAAAAAACATTTTTATTGTTTGAACAATGAAAAGATAAAATTGAAAAAAAAAAAAAAGTTCTTCTGCTAGAAGAAAAAAAACGAACGAACGACCGGCCTTACAGTTAAAAAAGAACAATAATTTTTTTTTTTTTTTCATTTCGTTTCGATGGGGGAATTTTTTTTCTCTTTCCCTCCCCTCCCCCCTTAGAATGATAGTTTGATGATGATGATGATAATGATGGAAATATATATTTATTGGAAATAAGTAAAAATAAAAAAAAAAAAATCGAATGGGAAAATAAAATAAAAAAAGATATATATTTTTTACAACATAAAAAAAAAAAAGAATTTTCTCTCCCTTTATATCTCTCTCTCTCTCTCTTTTATCTCTCTCTATTGAATTCTCCGTGTAAAAGGAAATACCTGAAAATTTATCGAATTATAAAATGACGTGATTGAATATGATGTGGGAGGGAGGGAAAAAAAAAAGTTGGCAGCAATGTATAAAGATGTGGAAAAAAAAAAATAAAAAACAAAGCCGGGAAAAGTGAAAATTAAAAAAAAAAAAAAAAAAAAAAAAAAAAAGATCAAATCTAATTTTTTTTTTTTTCGCTGACTCCCTCCCTCTCTCTCTTTCCCCCTTACCTCTCTCCCATTCCCTCTTCCTCCTACCTTTTTCTCCCCCCCCCCTCTCTCCCCACTCCCACCCCACCGATTTCAAAAAAATATTCATTTCCTTTTTCAAAATTAAATTATTTTTTTATTTTTTTACAATAAAAAAAAGATAGAGAGAGAAAGAGAGAAAAGGTTTCACGTACCTGACTAATTTTAAGGTATCTTTAAATTGTAAAATAAAAAAAGTTTTAATGAATTTAAAACCAAACTACCTGGTTAACTAATTAATTTTCCCTTTCTCTCATTTTCACTTTCTCTCTCTTTCTCTTTCTCTTTCTCTCTCTCTCTCTTTCACTTTCTCTCTCTCTGTTTCTCTTTCTCTCTCGCTAACTTTTTAAATAAAATCACAATTAAATTAATTTTAACTTTATTTATTTTGAAAATTTCATTTTTAAGTTTTAAGAAAATAATAAAAAAATGAAAAGTTTTTTTTTTTTTTATTCTCGTCGTCATCATCATCATTAACATCATCATCATCATCATCATCGTCGTCGTCGTCGTCGTCGTCGTTATTTTTTTTTTTTTAATTAATCATTTAAGTTCACATAAAAATCAAATAATAAAAAATGGCGTCGGATATTTTTTTTGTCGTTAATTGAAAAATATCATTTTATAAATTAAATTATTATTATTATTATTATTATTATTATTATTATTATTATTATTATTAATATTGTTATTAATATTATTATTATTAATAATGTGAAAAGAATTCTCGGGTTCATTAAAAAGTTTTTTTTTTTTTTTTAATTTTGTACAAAGATTTATATATGAAAACAGTAAAAAAAGAAAAAGAAGAAGAAAAAAAAAGATGGCGGTTAAACGAACGAATAACGTTTTTCTTTTATCGATAATAATAATTATTATTATTATTAATATTAAAAAAAACGAACTTTAGAGTCGGATTTAATCAAATTCTTCTTCCGACCCGACATAAAAATAATAATAATAAAGTAAAAATTAATTTCCTCATTAATATTTATTTATTTATTTATAAAGTAATAAGACAATGAAATGTTTCACGGGGGGGGGGCAGAAAGAGAGAAGATAGAATTAATATGATGACGTCACATATACCGGAAATTAAAAAAAAAAAAAAATTTTTTTTCATTAATTTTTGTAATAAATGAATTTAAAAAAAGAAAAGAAAAGAAAAGAAAAGGAAAGAAATGGGGGAGAGGGGAAATTGTTCCTTTTGAATTATTTAAAAATAATAATAATAAAAGAAAAGTGATGACAAAGTGACATTTTGAATTACAGGGATGACAGTTTGCGTGAAATGTGAAGAAGCAGCAATGAGAGAAAGTAGAAAAGAATCTCCAAGGTGTCCCGGTCACGGAGTTGAGGGACGTACAACACGATGGGAAGCACTTTCGGCCCCCCATTGCCGCGGGAAATGGGTTCGCATAGAATCACAACTCATCGATTCTAAATCGGAGGATAACATTAAATGTGAACTTTGCCCTAAGGGATCTCAGTTTATATTTGTTTGAATTCATCCTCTCCCACTCCCCTTTCTCCTCTCCCTCTTCCCTTTCTCCCTCCCCATTCGATTTTGCTCAGATTTTTCCGAATAGACATTTTTATTCAAGAGAGTGAACGTAAAAAAAAAAAAAAATTCCCCAAACGTAAACAAAAAAAAATAAAATAAAATAAAATAAATAATAATAATAAAAGTAAAAGTTAAAAAAAAAAAAATTTTTACCACTGTTACTACTACTGCTAATAATAATAATGATTATTTTATGATCTTTTTTTTTTTTCAATTTTTCTTATTTGTTTCTTTATTTTTTATTATTTGTTTATATATATATATACAATCTGTTTTGTTTATTATTAATAAAAGCAGATATTTATGTTTTTAATAATAAAACAAGTTAATTCGAGAATGAGAAAATATGAGGAAGTCGAAAAAAAAAGGAAAGGAATCACATGGGAAAATAAATAAATAAATAAATGATAAAACAAAAAAATGCATTTAAAAAAGAAATGGAAAAAAAGAAAGAGAAAGAAATTACGTAACAAAACCGTGTGGGCAAAAAAAAATTTTTTTCATTGCAAAACAAAAAAAAAATGTCTTGATGGGGTCAATGACCGTCATAAAGCTTCAATTAAATCTTTTTTTTTTATTTTTTTTGCTTGTGTTAGCAAGTTGTCTGTTTAAATCTGCCACGTGTTTTTTTTTTTTAATTAGAGGAATAAAAAAAAAAAGATTTAACAAGACGTACAAATTTTTTTAATGTTTGTTTTTTGTAAATGTGTGTGTGACAAGTTTAATTTTTTTTTTTTTTTCTTAACAAGCGTATTATTTATTCAGGATAAATAATTTAACGTTTGAATATAATTAATTATTTGAGAATCAATTATGTAATGCCACGAACAAATTTTTTTTTTTTTAATAATTAAACGTAACGTTTGAGAAATCAATGTTTATCCAAACAAAAACGTACAGGAAATGATAATCCACACTGTCATAACAAAAATAAATAAACAAACATTGTTTATTGTTTACATTGAGATTTTAAATGATTTCTGAACGCGCGCTCACGATGTGCGCGTTCAGAAATCAACTTTATTTTCCTCCCTCTCACTCACTCACTCTTCCCTTTATTTGTTACACGTTAAATATGGCGATTGTGAAAACCAAATCATTTTGTTTAATTTATATTTATTTTATTTTTTATTTTAAATTTAATTAAAATGTAAAAAATTTTTTTTTTCATTTTGTCTTATTCTTACGTCTTTCATCACAGGGAGGAAAAAAAAAAGGTAAAATTTTTTATACAGCATAAAAGAAAAAAAAATATATATATATATATATATTTTTTTTTTTTCATTTTATTTCTTTTCATTTCAAGTGACATGACAATAATAAATTTCTTTTCTTTAACTTTTCAAACATAATTTTAAATAAAAGAAGAAAAAGAAATGTTGTTTATTGCTGATGGGTTTGTCATTTTATTTTATTTTCTTTAAGGTTCAAACCTTTGATTTTCTTTTCTTTTATTTAAAAGTTATTTTGTAAAGTTATTATGAATGTCACTAATGTCGCTTTTTTATACAAAAGTTTTTTTTTTTTTCTTTTCAAATCACGCATAAATAATAATAATAATAATTAATTTAATATCAAATCGATAAAATAATAATTTAAAAAAAAAAAAAAGAATTATTTATCCACACGTAACAAAAATTAATTTATATATATATATATTTTTTTTTTTCGAAATTATTTTAACGTCTTTTTTTTTTTTTTTTTTACTTAAAATTACGTGTTTAATCCATTTTAATATATTTCTTTATTATCCATGTTTTTTTCTTAACTGTCATATAATTTGCATTTAATGTATTTTTATATTATTATATTAAATAAAATAAATAATTAAAATTTTTTGAAAAAATGATTTATTTGAATTTTTCTTCGCGATGAACGCCATTTTATTTTATTTTTTGTAAAATATTTTTCTCTTTTTCCGTTTTGATAATAATAATTATTATTATTATTTAAACGAACACTTGGTAAAATTTAAAACATGGAATGAATGTAAAAATTTTTTTTATTTTCGTTTGGTTAATTAATTAATTATAATTACGATAATTTAAATATAAATGTCCAATCGCTTATTAATAAACCGTTACCAATATTGTTGACGTCATCATCATTCGGTTACGGTCGTAAATCACGTGATTTAATTTGAATATCCCCCCCCCCCTTTTTTCGGGGGAAAAAAATTGTTTTTTTTTTTAAATCTCGGTCCAAAGGGGGAGTTTCAAAAAATAATTTTTTTTTTTTTTACGCGATAATATGTATATATATTTTTAATTGACATAATTAATTTGGAATCGTTTTTTAACGAATTTGTTTTACTAATGAGCATAATAATAATAATAATAATTAATTGATAATTGTTTTAAAATGATGATATTAAAAAAAAAAAAAAAAAAAACATTTATTATTATTATTATTAATTATAACGGTAGGAAATTTTAATTATAATCTAATCAAAAACAAAAAAAAAAAAAAAAGATGATGATGATGATTATTATTTTTTATAATTGTAATGATTTGATTGATTGATTGATTTAAAAAAGATTTTTTGAATATTAAAAAAAAAGTAATTTTAATAATTAATAAATAAAAGTAGATTTTTGATTGTGATAAAAATGAATGATAGTAGATACAGGCAGGTTTTCAAATAATTATATATTTTATCTAAAACAAAAAGGAATAATTAATAACAAACAACAGCTGCAAGGAACCACTTAACAGTTCCATTGTTTGTTTTCCATTGTCATGTTTTTTGGGGACCTCATTTGCCACACACAAACACAAACCACCATTTACTTGTTGTTTAGTTTTTTGGATTTATATTTGGCAAAACATTTCTCATTGACACACATGATTAATAGTTTTTTTTGGTTAAATCAAAATTTAAATAATTGATCTCTTGAGTTATTTTTAATAATGATGATAATAATAATGAATATTGTGAATAAATAATTTTTTTTTTTTAAATTTTTTCTAAATGGTAATCATCATCATCATATTTTTAAAAAAAAGTTTATTCATTAATTATAAAAAAAAAAAAAAATTTAAACAAAAGAATTTAAATCAAAAAATTTTCCTTTTCAAATGTCTAATCCAGAAAAATTATTCGGAAAATTTTTTTTTTTTACCGCTGACAACTAAAAAATTTGATTTAACAAAAAAAAATTTACCGCATTGTCTAATTCCACGTTTTTTTTTTTTTTTTTAAAT